ATGTATGTATATATACATTTATTATATTTTAATCGAATGTTTTCATTATCTATTTTTTGAGTTCATTTTTTATCCCTAATTTATACAAATATTTCCTTTCAATAAAGCGTATTTTTGTATAATATAATTTAAAAATTTTTGAATTTTTGTTTATCTTACATAATATTCTGAGAGTCCCCCATACCCAATGCCAAAATGATTTGTGCAGATAATATTTGCAGCTGAATTTTGATCTTTATAGCTTTTACTCATACGGTCTATGATATAGTAAAATACTGCATAGACAGGCGAAGCAAAGGACGTCGTCTTTATTTATATTTATTTATTTATAAACTGCCAATTTCAATGACTTCACGATTTCAGCTGCCAGACACAAAATTTATTTGCGTCAACTTATTCCGTATTTATGTATGCCATATTAGGGGAAAAAAACGCTAAATTGATTCCAAAAGTAAAATATTTATGCCGTCGTATTTTATTGGATGTACCTCAATAAACTTTAGCTCTACCTCCGTTTATAGAGCATACATAAATCGCATAAGCCCGACATGCTGCTAAAATCATACTATCATCAAATACGTGATCAATGAAGATGCCAACACACACTAAAACTTCAAGGTGAGCAAAGTGTGCGGTGAATTATGCAGGTGCGACAGAAGCCCGCCAGGAGTTGGTGCGTGCCCTGACAATGCGAAAGATTAGGAGACAGATAAATGTGTGGGTATTTGGCATACAAAAGCATTTGTGAATTCACTCGATTATCGATATGCTTATGCATATTTGCATGCTTGCTCACGAAGTGAAGCGAGTATATTGGTTGGTTGTAGCTCACGGATTTCGCTGGGAGAGATAGAGAGATAGCAGATAACAGTATAACAGCATCAATGAGAAAAGATAAAAATGGTTTTTTCGTTATTTATTTATTTACTTGTGTATGGTATGTAAATTTTTAAATTTAACAGACTCGTTAAAAATTAATTTTAAAAAATATATAGTTGAAGAAATTCTTTCTAAAGGAATCGCGTTTGGTTTCATTATTAATTTGTTTTTCAATCAATATTAACTTTAGCAAATTAAGTTTGTTTACCCAAGTAAACTAGTTTTTTATTATCACTCTAAGCCGAGCTTAAAATTAAGGTTAATTTATTTGTCATAGTCTATGGCGTATTAGGCAAATGATTAATGGTTTTCTGATATACAGTAGCAGTATAACAGCATACATATATACACACACATATATATATTATTTTCGAGATTATAACAAAAATCTCCTAATCTAGCGCAGCAAGTTTTAAAATGAAAATTGTCCTGGTGAGTTAACTGACACTCGCATGAGCTCAATTGGAGTCCTCACGCTCTGTCTCGCTCTCCCTATCTGTCTGTCCCTCTCTCTTAAGTCGGACAGAGTTTAAAGTGAAGACCCAGCTGCTGTTGAGCCAAATACATCCAAAGTGGCCAAACAGCCCTTACAAATGCCAGGTCACGTTTTGGCCATTTATCACTTTTATTTGAGCTGTTGTATTAGATACTCAGATAATACACATACATACATGCATATATGTGCATATACACATATGTGCATGCATGTATTGTATCACACAAATAAAAATGTGAGTTTCGAAATTTTAAATCATATACATACATGTGTGTGTGTGTGTGTGCAAATGTATTATATGACCGTTATAAACATGAAAACACTTTTAGGTATATTAATGTCATTTAATATTTAGGCTCGCTACAAAATTATCAACTTTCTTATCAAATTTTATTGCGGTCCCACAGTTATTTAGTAAGTTTTGGATGAAAGCTTATAATTAATACAAAAATTGTTAGAAACGTATTAATATAAATAATATATGTAGACTTAATACGAGTAAATTATAAATGTATTATAGGATTATAGGATATAAATATATTATATAGGATACGAATTCGTTTCTATTTCAAGGTATTGAAGTCATCTGAATCATAATCTAAAATCTTATACAAAGACTCAATCAGGGATTATTATTAATATAAATACTAATATGAGAACTTCATTTCATTTAACTAATATTTTAGCAATATATATTATTGTAACCTTATTCGAATATACAATAATATATAGAATATATTTGAATTATCGGAAATTTATTTTATATTCAAATAGTCGTATTAGAATTTACAATTTATATTTCCTTAACTGTAATAAATATGTGTGTATCAGTACATTTTTTACTATACATAAGTAAGTAGACACATATAAGTTCTGATTCCGACACCAGTGAAGTGAGGTCAATAAAGTTTGCAGATGCTGAATAAATATACTGTTAGTTTTCTTTTCATTTTTTCACTCAGATGCATGGCAGACTCAACAAACTATCCCAGGTGAAACAACTGATACTGAAAGTTTAAAGTTACGAAACTTACACTCTCGAAACTTGCATCGATTCACTCAAAAGTCGGGCATGACCGACTGAAGCATGTTTACTCTGCAAGCATAAATTCATTTAATATTTTATTTAACAATTTGAAATAATTAATATTTTACATTTTGATGGCAAACCTTAGATTTAATAGTATCTGATTGTAGTTTAAGTCATTTCAGATATTCCATGAAGGTAAAGACTGAGTCAGCTAATCGTAAATCTGAGAGTAACCTGAAAAAATAGCAAAAGTTAAATGTGGGGCTGGCTCCGACTGAATGTTCCGTGAGATTTCGGTTAGCAAGTGCTGCTGCAATGCTCAATTATAGCTGGGGCTTAATTAACATGTGTGCCCCAACTCGGCTTGGAATATGATGCGCAAATGTCGCGACGACGCCGTTAGCTATTTGAATCGCTGGCTAAAAATAGGAGGGGAGCGAATTAGCCATTTGCAGCTAGCTATAATTAGGTATCCGGCAAGAGTTTCGGTAACCAGCAAAAGTTGTTGTTGTTGTTGCTGCTGCTGTTGTTGCTGCTGCTTTAGTTTAGTTCCAATTGTCAGAGCAGGCTGGCTGGGATTCTGGCCTTTAATTGGGCCCATTGCAGGCATCGAGCGTCAGCTGAAACTGCCATTTAATTGGCAGCAAAAAGTGCCGACTCAGCCCAGGTACGACGACGAAATTATTTGTTAATATTAGCTTCGTGCCACGCAAAAGGCCCTCAGGAGAGCTCGAGCCAATGTCTGAGGGTAAACAACTGTGCGAGGCTTTTCGGGGAATTTGTGGATGACCGTGCAGCACGGCACGGCACGGCTGCTTTTTGTCAACCAAAGGCAAACTCTGCACGCAGATAACGTCCAAAGCAGCCAGTGGAGTCTCAAAGCAAGTCTCATGAGCAGCGAGCAGAGAGCACAGAGCACAGAGCACAGCATTGTTTGCCTTTGCGTCGTTCAATTTGAGCAATTTGTCTGCGGCACATTCTTTGGCCGAGCTCGCATTTCTGGCCGCCTGCCTTTGACATGGGGCTAGTACAAATATTTTCCAAATTTTGCTATCCCATTGCTAATGGGTACGAATTAAGTATGCGAGCGAAGCATTTGGCCGGACATATTTGCCTGCCCGGCTCCGAATATCTTACTGCGGCAGTAGTGATTCACAAATTCCTTTCAGCAGCCTCCGGCCAATATTGCCAGGACGAACCAGAACGAACAAAAATTGACATAGCTCCAACCTATTTCGGTTATGGGCACGCAAATACAAACAGAAAAGTATTGCAAACAAAGCCCACGCAAATAATCTGTTTATTCTATTTCAACAAACAAATATTAATATTATTTACCAATCGATTCAATGAGTTTGCTTCTGCGCGATTTTAAAGAACTCTGCTTAATAGCTGTTGCCTGCTTTTAGGCTCACATGCTGACATACAGGCCACACTCCCTAGCTAAGACTTAGAACTGTATAATGTATGATATACGGGTAAATAATCCAAAGCACAATTTGTATTGAACGTGTTTTAACTATTTTTTTTTTTTTTAATTTAAAGTAAGAACTTAAAGACATATTTTGACTGTGCATTACTTATAAATTAAGTAAGAGTACTCTAGTCGGAAGGGTTAGAGTAGTAGATACCCGCAACACATCTAAACACTCTCTTAACTACTATTTCACTCGTCCTTCAGCTCAAATAATATTAAAAATACAATATTTACGAATTTTC